CCCCCCCAACCTCGGACCGGGCACCCCCTGAGATCGATACAGATCCGGTGAGATTTTGGAGTCGGGAAAAAATGGGGGTACCTTTCTGAGAATGCCTGTGAGGTCAGACTCGGTTAGAGCGTGCTATTCAAACCAGAGTCAGAGTCGCAGTCGCCAAAATCTTCAAGACTCCGACTCCACACTCGGAAATGTCAATTCTGTGATTCATTCCATGTTCCTAGTTGGTTCTTTTTTACATTCTATAGCTGATTTTCATAAGTTTTGGAGTTCTGACACATAATTTTCGTTCAAAGCGTGACACGAAATCTTCGGGACCTTCCTCAATTCTCGTCAAATGTCTGCGACAGGCTAAAGTACCGTTCAAGTGCCGCAGGGCTCATGAGCTTGCTTTTCACACAGGCACCTAAGGAGCTCCACTGAGCTCTAAGAAGCTTGCAGAGGGCCCAAACCGGCCTCTGAGAGTCCCACTGGTGTCCGTGTTCTCTGAGGCCCGCGACCGCGTCGCAGGCGGCTGGCCCTGGCCGCCGTTCGATGTCATGGTGACCGCCGGTAGTCGCCTATACCGAGTCCGGCAGGTCCCGAGCACACACTCACGTCTTCCCTCGGCGGCGGCGTTTTTCACCTTTTTACTGGGTAATGATCATGAGCGACGAGCGTCTGCACAGGGGCCTCTGTCGGCAATCGCAGCCACTGCAATTCTACCGGTCATTTTTGTCCAGAAATTTCAAAATTTCGAATTTTTCTGTAAGAATTGTATGTCATAGCTAGAAGAAAAACGTTGTCACCATCGGATTCCTCGCACTATTGCGCGTCGAACGATATGTAAAACGAGTGAGTAACGACTAGAAAAAGGAAAGATTTAACACAAAAGTTGATTTTGCCCCCCCAACCGAAAATCTCTGGCGACGCCTATGGTTAAGACGCCATGGTTAAGTGACCTGACCTGAAAACGTGGTTGATGTCAAATGATCCGGCGTGAATCAAATGCAAGGCATGTGAAATGTCAGCCTTCTACCATCAATGTGCTTTGAGCTACCGCAAAAAAAAAATACATGGTGGCGGCATTCACCCCTTCTTCTCGGCCGCCGAGGGTTAAACCTCGCTTCGAATTATTGCAGATAATGATGCGACCGAAAACAAAGCATTTACTGTGTCTAACTAGAACGGCCGCTGACTTGTTGGACAAGATCCCCAATCTTGATTTGCTAGATGGGAATAAAATGCTGGGTATGTGATACATATATACCCCTCGATTTGCTCTCGCGCTATGTCTATTTTAATCATTACTGTCGCTTTTTTATCCGAGATGATGTCGCCGCTAAACGGGTTGTTTTGTTTGCTTGCTTGCGTTGAATGGTCATTACGGATTATTGAAGGGTTATGATAAAATAGGAATGGGGCGAGGGAGGAAATGCACTGCGTCTGCGGGTGTTTAATTTAGATCACAAAGGCATAATTTCCGGCATAGTGCAGAGTCACTATCTTCCCCCTCCTCTGCACTGCGGCATCTCTGCGCCCCTCACACGGCGTCCTCACTCCACGGCCGGCCGCCGCCAACTGACCCACTCGCCGGGCGCCGCGACCTGACCCGTGTCACTGCCGCGGCCTGCGCAATAGAGTCGGGGCTGGAATCCGGGGGTTCGGCCGGCCGGCCGCCTCTGGAGCGGGGGACTTTTTTTGTAGACCTACTGTACATATAAAGGTCATGGAAACCCGCTCCCTCGAACTCTCGTAACCCGGAAAACGGAAGAGAGCGAATACAGAAACGACTCGGCAAAAGGGCATCGACATTGGAGTGTGGGCTGAGTTGGACCGGAAGATAAGACGAAGCTGAATCATGATGACAAGACATAATGAATGCAAAACAGGCAACAAGCACCCCGGAACACACCTCTAGGAAGCTGGGAGAGCCAAACCTATGGAGGCATTGTCAAAAGTGTCGAGAAGCCAGAGATCCACTGTGACACTCCGTAAACGTAATCCTCAGCTCAGCGCATCATCACCCCTCGGGTGCTCCTCGTTATCACAGCTTTATCTGCATAAGCTTTTCAACGACTCACACCAGTATGCAGGCATTAAACATCTCTACGACTCCGAAATCTCAGGCCATCACAGAACCCCGCATGGCCGGTGGCACACGGCCTCGGATTGACACGGGAGGACGACATGCGACCGCGCGTGGTGTGCGTGGCGGTCAATTTTGCGCCCCTGCGCGGCCGCGAGGTGCCGCCGGTTTCGCCACAATACGGGAAAGCGTAAAAACGTCAGGAGCCAGCCAGCCGTGCCTCCCCTGTGGAACCGCGCCCCCGAGCGGCCCGAACTCGGCCTACGGTCATCGCAGCATGGAAAATGAACTCGCTGATAATGACTTTCCATTCCTGATTCAGACAGGTAGATAGGGATAGGAGTTCATGCAGTCGTGCTTATAGACCAAAACACAACTTTTGCACGAAGGCTTTAGAGTATGAGATAAGACGGTCATCGGAGATCCGTACTAGATAAATCATCTTCATTTATGAATTATTCAGTAAACGAAAACGCATCCATCTGAAAAGTTAAATCAATCTTATAAAAAGTTTAGTGTTCTGAGGTTGGATGGCCATCGAACATCCGCACTATACATATACCTATCCCATGCACGAAAACGCATCCATCGGAATAGCTATAGGCAGTTCAAGCTTATAAAATGATGATAGGCACTCAAAACGGTTTCTAAAAATAGGGGAAGGTCGGGATGTTGTTAGACACCTCCACACATTGGCATGGTGCATTCATTTTTAACGGTATTTATCGTTAGCTGATCAATTTGTTTGAACTGTTGGTACTTTTGGAAAGGTTTTGGAAGCAAACCCGCTTAGTGCGTCAATTTGATTATGAACGGTGACACTCCTCCAACCCACCGATGACATGTCCACCGTTCATCATCCGCTCTCCACGGTACCCGTCATCTGGAATGACTGTCATTTTCCGGATCGATCGTTTATCGCCAACCCGAAGCTGGTATGTACCGTTCACTTCGCCGTATCGTCTCGCACGCTGCCAGATCGTCCCATATCGGCGTGCGCTGCCAGATGTGCTGACAGAGGAGGTGAACTACCGCAGGCGATAGGTCTACACTCGTAGGCGGCTTTGGTACATACCAGGCTGCGCTCACGGCTCACATCACGTTACGCTTCCTCGCATGCCGTCACGAGCGGTATCACGATGTCACGCATAGTCACGTCGGAGGCCGGGTCACGAAGTTACGCAGTCACGCAGTCATGGAGAGTCCTATCAAGACCAGCAAGGTCATCCATGCACGCAGACTGGATGACCTGGAGCCCTGGAGTCGCTATGAATCTCCCGCGGAACATTTTGCATGTGTATGGCTCGGGGCAATATAGAATCTTACGACGGATAATAAAGGAATCACTACAATCACAAGATTGTAGTGATTCCGTCTAAAGAGAAGGAACCGTCTAATATTACCGGAACAAGGAAATGTGTAAAATCACGCATAGGAAGTGCTTCCCGTCCGCCTGTGGATGCTTTGTCATCCGTTTTAGATCGGGACAAGCGTACATAAGCTCGTATCAGTATAGATGTCTCGAGATCTCGGAAGGAGTGTCGATTGTTTGAAGAGTCACGCAGGAAGGCGCTCGAGCACCCTCCCCTTCCCCGACAGCCTCAGAGTCGGGAGACGTGGGCCGGTTATGAGGAAGCATGACAGACCGTTCCTCGTCTCTGGGTGAAGGACAAGGTTCGACCCAGCCAGAAAAGGACGGCCTTGCTTTCATTGACAGATGGGATCACGCCTGGCCGATTCTCTATCGCCCCAGCCATGGCAGTGATAAGTGACAAATGAGAGACCGTGAGGGAAGAGACCTTCGACCTCAGCACCTTTTTCATGGACATTTTCAGAACTTTTAATGCGAAATATGTGTAGGTACTCCCTTTCCCAAAACATGATCGATGCATTTCAAAGCAGATAGGTACCAGCTATAGCCTGCTGTGTATGGAACAGGTGAACAGCGACGTAATTACACACATCTGTCTTCCGATTAGAAATCCGATTTCAACATTCGAAGAATTTACCAAAGCAAGACTAATAAGGTCATATTTTGCAAACCCCAAGCAACAATTTCAGCGCAACCATGAACCAGTCACCATTACTTTACGTTCATCTTTCCTGATACCTGAAATATCGACATGAAACAGTAAACACAACCAATTACAACATAGACTCGAAATCAACACGAACGCTATTTTCCGATGAGAAGTCGTATCGTATCAATGTTTTGTAATTCTTGTGGTCATTCGCGAGTATCTACATTGCTAATTGAAAACGAGGTCGGCATTGCCACACAATCCCTGGCCGCATTGTATCCCGTTTGTATCTTCCTCAGCTCGAGTAGTACGTCAAGTTGTGTGGTAGTACCTATACTGCCTGAGCAATTGACGGTGGGACTGCCTCCACCAGCGGGGGGAGGGGGCGGAAAGTGAGTCTACTATGCTCCGCATCTGAAGTCGCGTTTGGTGCAAACTGCAGAGCGACGAAGGGAAACCACATTGGACCTGTTTCCACCAACGATTGGTTTACAGGTTAGCACCTACAGTGCTGTAGCCTTGTTCTTTCTGATGAATGGTACGACGTATGTGTCAATGCAATGGGAAACCCGTAGGAATGAAAATAAACAGGTATTACCAGCATGAACAGAAGAAATTGTCGGAATTCAACCTGTTATGCAAGAAAACAACCCCCACGTTCAATGGACGACCTGCGAGGCATTCCTATGCCACGCAACGTCTCCCAGCTCGACCGGAAAAACGCTGCACTACCTAAGAGCGATGCACATCGCTAACATTCGAAGTATTACGTAAGCGATGCGCGTAATATTCAGAGTCCGCCCATTCCATTTCACTTAGGAATGCAGTATGCATATCGCATACCTATCGTCAACTATCCAGCGAACCAGGAAGCGAGTGAGAAAGCAGGCGAAGAAGGTAGATACACTTACTGATGGGGTTTGGCGCATTCATTTATGCCATTAGTCATTAACATAGACACTGGTTCTAAGCCTGATGCTTAAAAAACACTGGTTTGGTTTCCAGTTAGTACCTTACACGCATCTAGATTGTTTAACATGAAACCATGTATTTCTCGGCTCGGTCAAATATTTCGCATATTTTTACAACATGCCCAGCATTCGCCACACAAGCACCGCTCTGTTGGAAGCGGTCGCCCGCCGCATACGGCAAGCATAAGAGGTCCCTGGTGAGACTCCCTGAATGGTATTCCCGCATCGGCACAGGAAATCCACTGTTGGATAAATGGACACCGCGTACAGATAACTGAGAACTCAGACAAGAGCGAGACTTACCCAGAGGAGAAAACACTCCAGCTGCCTGAGCTCCCCAGAAGCCTGGCCGAAGGTAGCACGTCTACCATGACCCAGAAAGAGCATGTCCATTTTCTGGAAACGCATCTTTCAAGCGTAGCTTCCTTTTCTTCTGCCCAGCGGCAGGAAAACAGCTTTCAGTTCCTTGCTGTTAAGAACACAGCCCAAACATAAGCATCCAAAATTCACATATTCCCATCGGACGCTCATTCGCCTCCCCTCCCTCCCTTGACCCGCGTTACGTTCTCTCCCTTCTCACTCCACCTCCGGGTCCTCGTTCACGAAATCCTTCAGCATTTCGGCCACATCTGGCGCCAGGTCGTCATCGTTCATGGTCTGCCTTCTGGGCCGCTTGGTCTCCAGTATTTCCACCTCGTCACTCTCGTCGGGTGCCGGGCGACGCGCGGTCGGTCGGCTCTCCTCCTCCCCGTCCTCACTGCCTCCGAGGACAATCGACTTCTGGTCCTCCTCCATCTCTGCCAGCTCGACCGAGCGCCGGCCGTCAGCCGACGCAGAGCTCTCGCTGGAGGCGATTGTTACAGTGGTGACGGACGCCGCCTCGCCCCTGGCACCCCCCGCAGCCGCCGCGGCGCCCGCCAGCCAGGCCGCCGGTGGCTTCCTCTCGGGTGGCGACGCCCGGCCCCCGCCGAGGCCGGCTGTGCTCGCGGCGGGTCGCGGGGAGGCCCGGCTACTGTTCGGTGCCGATGCACCCGGCGGCGAGCCAGCGCGGCTGTCGGCAGGAGTCGCCGCCGCCGCCGCTGCTGCTGCTGTCACCGAGCCCAGCCGGCTGCCCAGGCGGACAGTGTCGCTAGAGCCGCACTCACTGACATCGCTAGGGATGTCTTTGGCGGCTTCCGGCGCCCCTCTGACGTCATTGGATACATTGGTGACGTCAGTGGTGACCGCCGGTCCGCCGGACGGCGCGGGGAACGCTGCCGTCCCGTCCGCGGCCGCTGGATCAGTGACAGGGGCGGCTGCGCCGTCCGCTGGGTCGGTCGATGAGGGCGGCTTGCTCCAGGCGGACAGGTCGACGGGGAAGAACAGTGTGGGATGTGCAGGCTGGACGATACGAGAGCAGAGCGCCTGACTGTCTTGGCACAGCATCGACACCTGGCGACAGAGGGCAGAGTTAGAAAGTGCCACTGGGATGAAAGACAGCAGATTTGCAGCTTGACCATAAAGTCTTTTGCTATACTGGATCCTTCACTCCCGTCGTAGCAATTAGTCATAAACAACTCAAACTCGAACTGTACTCTGGCGCCTGCAGAAACATTTTCCCACAGCATCCAAGGTCGATAGAGTTAACGAAACACTACCAAAAAGTAATCAGCAAAAAGGAAACAATGGCTATTTACAGCAAAACAATAGGCACTCTCACGAAAAAAGACCTCGTTACTATCTACCATGAAACGGCATTGATGATTTCACGTCCAGCTACCCCGACTAACCGTGCTATCTTCATCTCTGGCTCCGTGCGCGAACAGTCCCACGGCGAACTGAACGGGCGCCGGCCAGGCGGGGTGCGGGTCGGCCACCAGGGCACGCAGCAGGCGGTACAGACCGGCGCGGCAGGCCGGCCGGTCGTACGGCTGCGGCGGCGCTCCAGTCGCCCGCTGCACCTCCAGCAGCAGGCCGACACACAGCTGCTGGGCGGCCCGGTGAGCCGAGACGGTCAGCAGCGGGCCCAGAGCCGTCGCCAGCTGACAGAGCACCTCCAGCGCGGCCAGACAGCGACCCGGCCGGCGCGCCACCGGGGCCGACTGGCGCGCCGACAGGTCCGCCTCCAGCCACTCGCCGGCGCCGCGCCGCTTCTTCTTGGATGGGTTGGTGGTCACACCGTTAGTGGCCGCCGGGTTGGTCTGTAAGGAGGGGAGGGAGTGGTAAGCAAAGCGCTTTTGTGGAAATTAACAACCAGGGTTCACTTTTTCTATTTCATTGTAAGAGATGAAGAGGAGAGTATGAGAACATTCGGCTTACACTGTTGATCTTTTTTATAACTATATCGCTCTTCATATAAATCGTTTTTCAAAATAGAAGAAACAAATCAAAGCAGACCCGCACCACCCACCCCTACCTCCACCTTTCCGGTCCCGTCCCGTTCTCACCTGGAGTGTTACTTTGGCCGACTGTGGCGGTCGGACGTCCTCAGACAGCATGGTGATCAGCTTCTCCGCCTGATCCTGCAGGCCGCAGCCGGCGCCGGCCGCCGTCAGCCACGCGCGCACCGTGCGCAGCGCCTGCCGGTGCGCCGCCTCGGCCGCCGGGGACGGGCGCGGCGCGGCCGGCGCCTGCAGAGCGCTCACAAGGAGGCCGTTCAGCGCAGTGGCCCGCTGCACCAGACTGACGCCGCAGCTGGAGAGACAGTATTACAGTGATGGGTTAGTCATATGGGACACAGATTCAAGCGAGAAAGACTTAAGTGCGTGAAAATGGGCGCAGAATTCGGCAGGTCCGGAAAAAGTATCCATTGCTGCAAGCAACCGCTTACAAAGTTTCATCTCTGACATCGTCTGGTCTCTAACTAGCGACGATTGATGGTTAACAATCTGATAAACTGTGTGTGGTGCTCCCATTTAGAATCCATATTCAAAGAGCGGGCCGCAAGTCTTAATCGAGGCGGCCTAAGCCTCAAATCCTATTCACTGTTTCCTGGCCATCCGTTGCCTCATGCTCACCAGCCAATGAGCGCCTCGAGCATCCTCAGCGCCGCGGCTCGGACGTCCCAGAAGGCGCGGCGCGCCGCCTGTAGCTCCATGGCCGCCGACACGGGCGCTGCTCCGGCCGACACGCAGCGCTGTGCCAGCTCCAGCAGC